TTTTAAAGAACTAGTATCTCCATGCTTTGGCAGAAGGATGATGGTTTGGTAGAAGTCTGCTGTTCCTGTGACAGTCCTCCCAAATTTAGTCATTTTGAGTTCTCCGTTTTTAACGTATTCCCTCAGTTTTAGAATCTAGAATCTCAGATTTTGTTCTTGCTCAATGTGTTGCTGATCTTCTCAGTTCTTGTCCAGCTCCTGGTGCTGATCACTACACACACGTTTCCTGCCTAGCAAGTAAGTATGTTCCATTGTTTTATGTGACCAGACTGTGTACGTGCCATCCCACAGAGCAACCAGTGTTCAGACAGTAGCAAAACCAGAATTTTCCTTGTTAGCTGCTGCTGCAGGCAAGGGTCATGCTGAGCAGTGAAAACAAAACAAGAGTCTTTTCTTTCCCCTGTGCCCTTGCTTACCCCATTGCTGTTGCTCAGGCAGCATTCAGAAGGATGTTAACTCAAATGCAGAAAGGACAGGAGCTGGATGAGGGGCAGGGAAAGAGTAAATTGAGATGAGGAGTAATGAGATCATGCAAGGAATGGGGTGGGAAGATGGCAACATCCAGACAATGAGAGGAGGATTGGGAGCTCAGGGGAGACGTTTGGTGGGCACTTAACCTGTTTATCGGTGGAAAGACAATAAGGCTATATAAGGAGTTAGAGGAAGACTGGGGACTTGGAACAGGTTGAGGAGTTAATAGAATAGGTGAAAAATATCTATTCAGTCTTCCTTAGAGGGCAGGGGGACAACTGGTATCAGTAGGCAAAGACATCAGGCCGAGGGGCCTGGACAGGGTACTGGGGACAGAAGAATAGATTGGTGTGGGTTGAGTAACAAATTGCCTGGGGATGACAGGAAATTGGACAAGTAGGACAGATATGAGGAGCTAGGTTAACAGACTGGATTAAGAAGCCTGCAAGGTGGAGACTGGGATTAGGTAAGCAAGGAGAAATGAGTCCAAAGAGGTCAAACCTACAGAAAAGACATTTAAATTGCTAGTTCAACAAGGACAAGTGCAGAGTGCTGCATGTAGGGTATAAAAATATCCAGCACATCTACTGCCTGGGGAATGACCCTCTCAGCAGCACAAAAGTGGAAAGGGATCTCGGAGTCATAGTGGACTCCAAGATGAACATGAGTCGTCAGTGTGACAAAATCCTCAGTAAAGCTAACCGTACATTATCATGCATTAACAGATGTGTGACAAGTAGAACCAAGGAAGCAATACTTCCTCTCTATGCGGCATTGGTCAGACTGCAGTTGGAGTACTGCGTCCAGTTTTGGGCACCGTACTTTAAGAAGTATCATAGTGCTTAGGGTCGGAAGGGACCTAAACCAATCATCAGGTCCGACCCCCTGCCCTGGGCAGGAATGGGTGCCGGGGTCATACCCCCCCAGCCAAATATCTGTCCAGCCTCCTCTTGAAGACCCCGAAGGTAGGAGAGAGTACCACCTCACTTGGGAGTCCATTCCAGAGCCTGGCAGTCCTGTAATGTAATGTCTCCTGATGTCCAGCCTGAACCTTCTCTCTAACAGTTTGTGGCCATTATTCCTAGTAACCCTGGGTGGTGCCTGGGCCTCCCCCAATTCTTGCTGGTCCCCTCTGGTGAGTTTGTAAACGGCCACAAGATTCCCTCTCAGCCTTCTCTTGTGGAGGCTGAATAGGTTCAGGCCCTTTAGCCTTTCTTCGTAGGGCCTGTCCTTCTGCTCCTGGACCATATGAGTGGCCTTCCTCTGGACCCTCTCAATGCTAGCCAAATCCCTCTTGAAGTGTGGTGCCCAGAACTGGATGCAGTACTCCAACTGTGGCCTGACCAGTGCCGCATAGAGGGGAAGGATCACCTCCCGGGACCTGCTTGTGATGCATTTGTAGATGCACGACAAGGCGCAGTTAGCCTTACTGACTGCTTCCTTGCATTGGCAGCTCATGTTCATCCTGGAGTCAACAATGACTCCAAGACCCCTTTCTGCCACCGTGTTGACAAGAAGGGTATTTCCCAGCCTATAGGTGTGTTGCTGGTTCCTTCTCCCTAGATGCAGTACCTTGCATTTGTCCATATTGAATTCCAACCTATTTTCACCTGCCCGCCTCTGTAATTTGTCTGGATCTAGCTTGATTCAGTCCCTCTCCTCCAGCATGCCCACCTTGCCCCGCAATTTGGTGTCATCAGTAAATTTGGACAGCGTGCATTCCACACCCACGTCCAGATCGCGGATAAAGATGTTGAACAGTATAGGCCCCAGGACCGAGCCCTGGGGGTCTCCGCTGCCAGGCAAAATCTGGCCAGGTGCTGGGGTATTGGAAACTGGCTATTGTGGTCCCAATATTCAATGAAGAGAGGAAGGAGGACCCAAGTAACTATAGGCCTGTAAGCCTCACCTCGGTGCTCGGGAAGATCTTGGAGAGAATCATCAAGGAGCACATCTGTGCGGGGGTCTGCAGGGGAGGTCATGCTCAGGGGCAATCAGCATAGGTTCATCAAAGGCAGGTCCTGCCTGACCAACCTGATTGCCTTTTATGACCAAGTAACTAAATCCTTGGATGATGGTGTTGCCATGGACGTAGTCTTTCTAGACTTTAAGAAAGCCTTTGACACTGTCTCTCACCCCATTCTGATCAATAAATTAAGCGACTGTGGCATTGATGCCTACACAGTTGGATGGGTAAAAACTTGGCTGATGGGGCGCACCCAGAGAGTAGTGGTGGACGGGTTGTACTCAACCTGGCGAGATGTGAGCAGTGGGGTACCCCCGGGCTTGGTCCTCGGGCCTGCACTGTTTAACATCATCATCAGCGACTTGGATGAGGGGGTGGAAAGCACACTGTCCAAGTTTGCTGATGACACTAAGATGTGGGGTGAGGTGGACACACTTGAAGGGAGAGAGAGGCTGCAACTAGATTTAGACAGACTACAAAAGTGGGCAGACGAGAATAGGATGGGGTTCAATGTAGACAAATGCAGGGTGCTGCACCTTGGGAGAAGGAATCCACAGCATACATATAGGCTGGGGAGTTCCCTTGAAAGCACAGAGGTGGAAAGGGATCTCAGAGTCATTATTGACTCCAAGATGAACACGAGCCACCAATGCCAGACCGCAGCCAGCAAGGCCAGCCATACCTTGTCATGCATCCAAAGGTGCATCTCAAGTCGGTCCAGAGAG